ATTTATACAAAATATTTATAAAATTATTTATATATATATATATATATATATATTTCAAAGTGCTTTCTGAACGCATTTAGATAATTACGAGAATGCTTTATTGGAAATACAATCGGGATGTTACTGGTCGTATATTCTACCTCCATTTGATATGGTTGTTATACTTCTTTCATCAAACTGTTGCACTCGCAGGTGAGCGAAAAGTTTTTTTTTTCAAAATGTCCTAATACTTTAATTTTCAAACTACATTATGCTGTTAATGATTGAATATTTATTTTACCTTTCTGTACTCGAGTTATTATTATTCTTCAATGCTCATATATCTTTTTTTAATTAGCGGTGCAGGTGTTTCTTTTTTTTACGATCATTCACATTATATTTCGCTCTCAACAGCTGTCACCCCAAACATAAACATTTTTAAAAAGCTTTTGCACCTGTCCTAATGTCAGCTAATGAATGACTGCTGACATTGGAAAAAGAATTCAAGAATATTATATATCTTCATTATAGACCCGCCAAGAATGATGGAACATATTGATCGAACAATACATGTGCCAACGGGACAGTCAGTGTTTCGATTGTTATGTCCGGTGCAGCTGAATGACGATTTCCAACAAGTCATTATCGATTGGAAAAAAAATGGAGAGCAAATTGACTCTGATAATCGCATCAAAATAGGAAAAGATAATCGTGAATTGAAATTCAAGAACATCCGTGCTGAAGACAGCGGACGTTATACTTGCCAGGCAACGAACGGGTTCGGTCATGTATCAATCAATTTCACTGTATTAGTCAATGGTTTGTTCTGTTTGCCAGATACATATAATCCTCTCAATTCAAGATCACAAGGACAATATCGTTAGACAAAACGGCATGGACTCTTCGAGAAGTAATTTAATTTTTTTAAAACCTTCTAATAACTGGTTTTCTAGCATTTCCTCTTGATTTCCGGTCGTACTTGACTGAAGGAGATTACTTGATCTTTGCCAAAAACAGCAGTCGCTTGGAGATGAAATGCCCTGATTATGGATACCGTAACCATTTGGTACAATGGTACAAAAACAATTTAATTCTAAGTAGGTTCAAGTATTATTAGATGGTAACATAATTATTGTTTAAGATGTCGGCTCATTCAAAAGCAAGTACACAATAGAGTCGGTCACCCCTTTGGATAGCGCCGTCTATCGTTGCGTTGTGGAAGATGAGTTTGACCCCGTGCAGAACCTCTTTCATGTACATGTGAGCAATACCGGAAAAATAGATTTGAGCATGGGAGAAGTAAGAAAGAGAACAGCATTTTCATATAATGCTTTGTTTGACAGAATCCAGAAATTTTCTTCAACCACAAATCCGATATTTCCGTGGACACTGGACATACTGCCCAAATTAGTTGCAAAATCAACGCCAAAAACATTGCGTCAATAAAATGGATGAAGGAAAGAAATGTTTTCGAGCAACAGCTATCGCTTACTGTAAACGAGAGCAGTGATTCTGCTCATTTCACTCTATTGGAAAAGTTGGATGATGATTTGATTCAATCCACATCCTCGGATCCGTTAGAGAAAACAATGAGTAACCGGCTCATTATTCCCACGGTATGACTTATTGTCACCTAATTGTGTAAACTGAGTGTTTCAGGTCTCTAAGGCTCAAGGTGGCCGGTATTTTTGTGTGGCTACTACTACAAATGGTAAAAGCTATTATCAGGCATCCTATTTGACTGTAATACCAAGTAAGAGATTAAAACGAAAATAATGTGAAAAGCTAATGTTTCCAGAGATGGATCTCAAGATGGGGACTTATGCAGAGACGTTGTTGTTCTGCATACTGTTTGCGTCAGCAATATTTCTGAGCTTGGTTGTGTACGCTATCGTCTTTCTTAGAAAAGCCGGGAAAGTGAGTTGCATGTCATGTATTCAAACATAAAAATTTCAGGAACAGAACACACACAGCTTGAAACCTCCACCTCCTCCGTGTATTCCGCCTCCAAAGACACCGACAAACTTTAGCGAGAACGAATACGATCTCAAAGAGTTAGACTACCCTATAGGCAACAATTCGATGAAGCTGTATTCTTCTCTTCATTATATTATCAACGTCATAATTTAATTCGATTCTCAGGATTTATTGTTCATTTTCATTTATTCATTGAGTACTTGATTTGTTGATTGTGGTTCGCAGAGCTTAACTTCCAGCCATACATAGACATATGGCTAGAATTATAAATATTTTACCCCATGTTCATTCGTTTGATCCAGCTGGATGTTTGTTAACATTTCCAATCAATGACTGTAAAAAGCCACTATGAACAGTTTTTGAAGTGCACTAACCGGCTGCTTTCTTTTGTTACGATTCTGGCATGCGGATATCCAATATTTGTTCAAAACGAGTTTCACCGGCTCTAGAGCCGTAACGGAGGAGCGGCTCTAAAACAAACATTCTGAACCAACAAGAAGAGTGTTCATCAAAAAAAGGAGGTCCGGATTGTTTATTTTTTGAGAAGCACATAAGAAGTTCTGAGCGATTTAATCTTCTCATCCGGTTTCCTGTTCAGCACCTCTTGTCATTCGGTTGTCATCAGTTGTTCAGGCTGGCTGATCCAAGCTGTTCCATTGTATAATATCGTACCTTTATTCCTCTATTCTCGTGAAATTTCATCTAATCCCTTTGTTCATACTGTTGTTGTTCAGGAATGGCTCAAGATCGTGCAGGACCATGGAGTCGATGGGATGGAATACCCGGTAAGCGCTTTAATTAGTTTCTTTCTCATAATCGTACTAACCTTGTAGCTCAAAGTGCATCATCATCTAACAACTTTGTGAACAACCGCTTCTTCGACACTGGTAATGGTGTTGGCAGCGGCATCGGGACATCAGGATCAGCAACATACATTAGAACATCTCTTGTTGACCAGAGAGTGAATGGTGAGTCTCACTATCCCAAAACGTAAATTCCCATATTCTTCAGCCATTGATCCTTCGTTCTACGATTGTATCTATGGAATACAGAACTCTGCAGTGACTGTTGTTGAACAGTGTTACAAAGATCTTGGATGCTGTGCAACAGGATGCTGTAAAAACTCTGAATGGTAATTATCTCAAAAAATTTCGTGAGAAACTTTCTTTGTTCAGGAACAGCAAATATGCAGCTGCGGTGGCTTTGATCAGCATCTTCGGGTTTCTCGTTATTCTAGCTGTTGTAATCTGGCTTATTGTGTGGTTGATGAACAGAGCTAAAGACAAAAGAATGAAGAGACAACTTATCAATGAGAACTCGAACATGTCTCCATCTCAATCCAGTGTAAGTGAAAATCAAAGTTATAATTCTTCATTCTATTTGTTGTAGACTTCTCTTGCTCAACCAGTTCCAAATGGTTTCCATTATGGTACTGGCCCATACCAAACTCCTCCTAATAACGGATATCGCTACTGAATGTCCTATTAGCTGCTACAATCCTTCTATGGAGATACTTCCTGTATATTTGTGAACGATTTTATATATGTTAATACAAAGAAAGCATAAAACTTAAATAAATATTAGTTTTATTATGATTGTTAGTGGAAGAGAGACTAATCTCTAAAAATGCGTTCTTTAATCATCAGATCATTCGATAACACTCGACATTTCAGAAACGATATTTCTGATACTTCAGCTTTGATATCGCGATCTAGATTGCTGAGATTGTTTGAGAGCCTGAAATGTATTTCATTTACATCTGGAGAATTCAAAAATAAAAACAAACCTGCTGATATCAGTGAACTCTTTTGCGATCAAATCTTTCAAGCGTTGTTCGTTTTCTCTAGTCTCTGTTCGCCATTTTTCAAGTTCCCTCATCATTGCCTCTATATCTTCCTAAAACAATATGTCACTTCCAAAACAAGTTTTGAACAAACTTGAACGAATTCCAAAATTTGCACAACGGGGTAAGCTTGCCGCGTGATTTTTTGTATTTCAGCTTGTAAGTTTGAAACCTGAATTTCAAATTGAGAAATCGTTGTGCGTATTCTAGCAGACTAGTATTTCATCACTGAAGTGGTTTTCGGACTTTGTATCATTCTCATCAAATTCTTTTTCATCCAACTCGGCCTTATTCTCCATAATCTTTTGCACTAGGACTCCTGAGCTTTCATCCTTAAAACACCCATAAAACGAATTAAAAGAAAAACGCTATACCGTTTTAATGGCATCATCGTTTTCAGTCATTTCGTTTTCTCTAATTTCGAAAGTATCTTCATCTGTCTGAGGAGCAGTCGTAGTTTCATTGAAAATAGGAACCTCAGCAACCGCCTAAGAAACTCATTACGTTAAGCATTGAGAGATATGAGTGATAAGAAATCGCACAATTTTCTTTTTAAAATAATCGCATCATAGTGTAAACTCACTGGCTCTTGACTAGTTCGAATTGTTGAAATTTGTTTCTTTTTCAAAGTTGGGGGAGCAGGTCGTGCAGCTGTGCGAGGACGAGCTTGTTCGACACTGACAAAACCATTACTCAAAAAATGACTGAAGCAGTTACCTAGGACGCACGAATTCAGCAGGCTCAGGTACAGCCAGCTCCATTGCAGCTTCAACGTCTTTCTCTCCATTTCCACCAATCTGCTGAAAAAAATTTTTTTTGTCATATACCGTAACCCACTGAAAGAAGCTCTGCATCTCTGTTGTCTTCAACCATGTTGGGTTCATCCTCCAAGCTCTTATGAGTCTTCCCACTTTTTTCCTTTTTTGTATTTTCTTCACTCTTCTTCAATTTGTCATAGTCAAATTTTTTTCAAGATATGGTACTTACTTTTTTCTTTTTCTTTTTTTCTTCTTTAGAATCCTTACTTTTCGACGATGAGTGATCTTCCTTATCTTTTGATCTCTTGGAAGAACCATCTTTCTCTTTCTTAGGCTTAGTTGAATCGAGTTTCTTTTTTGCTTTTTTCTTCTCACTTTTTGTCGCAACGTGAGCGATTCGTTGAAGCAACTGGAGGAAGATTATTCTGAATATGATATGGTCTTACCTCATTTGTGAGTTCCGGATGTTTTCCAGATAAAACTTTAATAGATTTAATATCAGTAAGAGTGCCATCATCAACAGCTTTTATAACTTTGTCAATGAATTTTGTTTTTGCTCCTTTATCAGCGTACGCAGCGACGTTCCAATCCTCTTGTTCGAATGTCTGGCAGAACATTAATAATATCTAAAACTCATTAAATACCTTGAAAATTCCTGTTTTTTTGTGTAGGTTGTGGATGATATCGAATATGAACTTGAATGGGGGTTTTGAGAGCAGTTCGGTAGTGAGCACGGGCTTGTCGATCAGTCCACTGAACGCAGACTGAGTTTTCTCTATATAAGCCATCTGAAAACAAGAGACTATGTTATGTCTAATGATTATAGCATAACGAACCCAAACGCTTGCTGACACATAGAAGCTGGCAATAACTGCTAATTAGTTTAACAGTTGGAACTCAGCGGCTACAGATCTGCAAATTGGAAGAAAATGTCTGGCCTATACGTTGGAAATAACAGCGCTGTTGCCATAGCTACAAAAGCTCCACCCAGCAGAATCAATACAACATGAGTACTAATTTCCTGCTAAGCTCGAAAAGTGACGTTAGTCTGCGAAAGCGTGCCGCCATGTTTCATAGCAATAACAACATATATTACTACACAAGAGGAAGCATAAGGAGCAAGGTCAAATCAGGTAATAATTATTTATGCTAACCATAACAACAACATAAATCGTAAACATCGAAGCAGATAGATTATAGAGCGAAAGAGCGAACAATGGCTTTACATATTTAGAAACTACAAATGAAAAGAGAACGTATGTGGATAAAGCGAAAACATAAGACATGTAATAACAAATCACATAAAAGACATTATGGCTTGAATGTTCAATATACGTTTCTGGGGTTTCCGAATTCAATAGCAGCTGATAGATTCTATGAATTTCATTAAAATTGGTGGGAATTATTTAACAACAATCACCGAAATTGGTATGAAGTGTATATAGAAACGCAGGGTTAGGTTCCTTCAAATTTTCTTTTAACATGTGTCAATAACAGCAGTGGAGCTGGGTGAATGGGATACCAGATACATGGAATAATAGTTTTCCGTGGGCAATAAGGAGAGACATGTTAACAAACAACATATCAAGTGATCTGAGATTATCGGTGACTTGAACAATCACAAACAAGTATTTGAATTCAAATTATGTTATTTGGCGCCTTATATAGATGGTTTTACCTAAAAAACATACCGGATCATAGATCAAATTCCAAATGGGCTAATGTCCAGTTGGCACGTTTGATATTATCTGACGCCCCCGCATCAGGATTACTGTAACTGTTTTTACCCCCAGGTCTAATTGTTTGTTATATTTGTATGGAGGATGAGATAGGATGCATAATTATAAAAAAAATTATTTATTAATTTGAAGAATTGAAGCGATTGATAATCATCAACTAATTACAAGTTAACTTCTTCATTCTCATGGCGATCCTAATTCACAAAGTTCCGACTTTGAAATGTGAGTCATTTGGGGAGCATTATAGTCTTTGAGCAGCTGGAGAGTATATGTTTAATATTATAATTAATTCAATGAATTCTTACATTCAGCATAAACTCATTTACATCATCAAAGTGTCGTCTGTTGAACTCATCAGTGTTGCGTGCAAAGATGTAGAAATTTCTATTTGATCGATTTCAAAGAGTATTCTCTATAGTCATTACCTGCAAGAGTCATTCTCTCCTGTTTTAGTAAAAATTACATATTCATATCTTTCGGATTCCGATGGACCGTTGTGTACCATACAATCTCAAAAAAAAAGAATTAAAGAAAAGATATGTAATAAATTACATTTTGCAGCCTTAACGATATCAAAAGTGATTCCTGTAGCTGAGGCGTAGGCTCTACCTTCCGTCTGAATGAACTGATTAGATTTCATTGATTCAAGTTATAACACTTCATGTAATTCATTTCCCTTTTCCGAGTTTCTATAGAACAAATTGAATGCGGCACCTTCACCATGTGATTTACCCACTGAAATGGTTTCCTGAGATTCATTTTGAAATTGTAGCATGTAATTACCTTCCAATCCCAAACATGCAGGTTCACTACGAGATTGGTTTCCTCTATCTCCGAGAGATTGGATGAATAATTCAGCATCACCATATACCTATGAGTAGTTTGAATGTTTTTTTTTCATTTTGTAAGATTTTTACTAATGTCCAAGCTCCTCGTAGTTTGGGGAAGGAAATTGGCTGGCATTTGGGACAACTGCTAAATGATCTCTCTTCGTTTGCCTGAACTCTTCGCTTCAATGCTTTCATAGTAGCGAAGCTTCCTTTATTCAAGACACGTTCTTTATTCTTAAGTAGTTCCTTCTTAAGTGCTCTAAACTCGTGTTCGCATTAGAACAAATGGAAACGGAACAATAACCTCAAAGTGGCTTTCTCTGAATCACTCAAGTTACCATGCTCTGATTCAAAATCAATTCCATATTGTTCACGGAAAAAGTTTTTTAAATGCTCATCGCCCGCGGTGATGTCATCTTCCTCAAATTCTTCAAAGAAAGATCAGATAGTATACTACTGATTCATAGATTTACCTCTGACTGGTGCTTTAGCCTGGTGAAGTCGCACTCCTGGAGAGTCAGTGAGAACCTGAAAAAAAACCAGTCACTTTATTGTGAGTATAGTTTCTCACATATCCCCCTGTGTTATCAACGGAACGCGATTCAGGACTGTTATATCCAGCTTTCAACTGTTGAAGTTGTTCATTGATAGCTTGTTGTTGTTGCTGCTGCATCAAAAGCTGAATTTCCTTGTAAAATATATGAATATATATTTTTAACTCACAGCTGCGCCAGCCTGATGGTCGATCATAGCTTGTTGATATCGTTTTTGGTTTTCAATATATGCCATTTGTTTGGCAGCATACGTATTTAATTCCGTCTGATGCTTAGCAAGCTCCTTCAATGAACATAAGCATTATTGACGAAAGAAAAATATGACGATAAACAAAATTACCTGCACATATTGACGATTTCTGATATTATTAATAGAAGTTGAGTCCCCTGATCCTCCCGAGAGCAGACCGCTTCCTACAGAGCTCAGTAAAGCCATATCAGTCATTTTGCTAGAATAATCCATAGGTATTGCTTTCTAAATCATACGATGTATCTCAAAACTGAGAGTTTTTAACAAACTTGACTGGCTACTCGTTGATACTCTGGGTTTTGCATTGAAAACGGATTATTTGGAGCATCTTGGGTGTTCATCATACCGTATGCAGCTTGATCTAAATAATTTCAAAAATTTTTTGAGTTTTTTTCCAAACAATCAAATACCTTGAGAATAGTTCATTTCTGGATCCATCAAGTTTGAGCTGACTGGTCTTCTTCTAACTTCTGAAGGTTGAGGTGGTTTCTTTTCTTTTTTGTCCATTTCAGGAAACATGGATTTCACCAGAGCACCAGCCAAATTTACAGCTAAGCGATCAACAACTGGAAATTCGTTGATTATGTTCAAAACGTTTTAGCTCAACTTTTTTCGCCAGCAGACTGTAATTCATTTTCAGCTTCCTTCGATTCATGGGCAAAAACTGTAGCAGCTAACACGATGAAAACAAAATAAACTAAGCGCATATTCTGGAAAAAAAGAATGCAATAAATGAAAATGATTGAAGAAAGAGAAATGTTTGTATACAATTATAAAGAATGACAAAGGACAGTGAATATGGGAATCAGAGTCCAAGTGAGAGAAGAAAGAAAAACTTCAATCAGAAGATAAAATTTGATACATGAAGAGACATTCATATGAATTAAATCTGACCTAATTACTTTCTCTTCAGTCGTCTGTCCTGATTATTTTCTCCTGACCCAAATAACGTTAAAGTCAATAGATTAATAAAACGTCTAGTGCACATCTTCCATAGAGAGTGAATGTAGGTCGGAACAGCATCCAGAGTGTTTTAAAGAAGATCTGACAAGTTTCTTGTCAGAAGATAGTCTGTCAACGGGATCCTACAATTGTCATCACATTTGTACACAAGATGATTTTAAAAAAATTAAGAACGATCAGTATTCTCGTGTCCATAAGAAGATCAGTTTGTGTTTTCAGTGCAAATTTTTATTGAAATGTATTACAATTTAATGAATAAGCATGATGAAGAATGGAACATTACAAAAAGCTACACATGAAGAGATATCAGTAATAGTTATGCTTGTTCAGTTCTTCATTGGATAGTCTGGAATCATTAGGCCTCTAATTTTCTCAGGAGCATACAGATTCTCATGAGGTCCATCTTCTAATAATCCTGGAGATACTGATTTAGTTGGATGTGTGAGGAAAGACCCGCAGCTTTCAGGAATCTAATGAAATAATGGTCAATGTTAAATATTATTATTGTAATCATACTTGCTCCAAGTACTCGGTTAGTAACGTAGTAGCGATTTCTCGAGCAACAATGGCTCCAGCATGACCTTCTATGAATCGAAGAAGTAGAACACCATCTACAAACAGAGGGATTATCTATTGTGTTCTATACACTTCTGTCATACCAGGTCGGAGGCCAACATGGACAAAGCGACGAACAATGTGCTCTTGACGGTAATTATCGTTGTTGTCATTGTTGCGGCAGGAGAGCCATGCTTTTGCTGCTTTTTCACGGAAGTGAGCTGGCACTTGCTGCATAAAGCAGTAGATGAAGTTGACGAATGTTGAGATGGCAACAAATAAGAACCAGAACCTAAATGACAGTGTCACTATCATCAATGAGTGGTTATGCTTACCATATAAACAAATATATTTTCTCGTTGAACATGTTAATCATTAGAACACATTGAACTGTGTAGCGGTGAATATTGGCCAAACGTCTGACACGGAAGTCACAGAGTGTTACTCGAGGAAAGACACCTGATTCCATCCACTCACGGCCGTTCCACAGATCAGTGAATGTCTGGAAGTGAATGAATTTAATTGACTTATGTCTTCGAGCACTGCCTAACCTCCCATCCCCAGAATGTGTAATCGCTTCCCAGGAACTTATTCAGTATGAAGAACTGAGCAATGATGTTGATCAGGTAGAAAAGCTTAACCATGAGATAGAGCATAGAAACATAAGATCCCAATCCACTTCCCAGTCTGAACATCTCGGGTAATATCGATTGCATCAATGTTTACTTACCTGAAGCAGAAGATTCTTGCTGGTGTGCGTCTGTCAGATCGGAACTCTAAGCACTCCTTGAGGTAATCAACGAGTTTCTTAACTTCTGCACGACGAGCATCTCCGAAAGAAGCTCGGATTTTGCGTGAGTCCTGAACAGCTGTTGAGAAATCAATTCCACTTTGTTGATGTAACGTCTTCCACACGAAATTAGGAAGATAGAACATGATGGCTTGAAGAGCAAGAATAATAGGCACCCATTGATAATAACCAATCTCAGCCTGTGATTACATGTAATAAAAGTAAATTCATATTATAATACCTTCGCTCTTTCGTCTATTTCGCCAGGTATTTCTTCATGAAAAGGAACGAAGAATGTGTTTTGAATGAAGCAATAATCCTCTGCATACTGCTCCCAGCCTCCTTTGAACTCCATAGGCATCCAACATTGAATAGGAGAGCCGACATATCTGAACGCTCAGAGCATTAGATGATGACACGAAAAGATTTTGAATAATGGTATTAGCGGGTAATGTAAACTTGTGAGGTTGACCCCATATGTAGGTCAGACCTCTTACCTTACTAGTCAAATATTACCAGAAAGTGAGCAAAATTTTTTCACACAAGCATTGTTAAATGTAAACAATAATAAAACAAACTAACTGCTTAGCAGAAACCATAATAGCAAAGAACGTTAACAGAGTCGATGTAATGAAGTAGTTCAAGCGATCGACTGGATCGTCGAATGATTGAGGCTTGAACCATTTCCAGATAGCACTATCTAGAAACGGGATCCCTAACATGTTCGGTTTATATTCTGTAAAAAGAAAAAAGAAAATTTTATAGTACAGATTATTCTAATGAGTATATGGATATATGAGATGAGCAAAAAAATGAGAGGCGTCCCAGCGTTGGCTGAGACTCAGACCATCGAATGAATGAGATTCACAAGAGGTCAGTAAGATGACTGACCTGACCTTTGGCAAATAGGGCTTGCCAAGAGCCATATGGTATACTTAAGAGAGAGATTATGCATTGAATACCAAAAGATGAGATGGGAAAAGAAAAAAAGCATATACAACATCAAAACAAATCAATAAAACAATAATCAATACAGTACTAAATAAAGAGAAGCTTAACATCTAAATATAGATGAGAAATGACGAATGAAATGAAAAAACATTGATGATGTTTGATTTTCTTTGTAAAGAAACTCTATAACATCATACCATTTTATAACCAAAATAATCATTGGAGACGGTGCAAGATTTCCTTATAAAAGCAAATAAATAACATAACTTAATGTATTTTTGCATCACTTTACAGCTCTATCATAAGACAGATATATGTGACAAAAACATGTTAAAGTAATAAAATGAGACATGCATAGATAGTATTTCCGATTGCTAATGACAATCAAGGGTCAACTCACTCAATATACGAGTAGTTGTGAGATTTGTTTGAATGATATATCATCCAATCTATGTGGGACCATCTACTCCTTCTCGTTCTCTCTACAGTTTTCGCACACTTTTCTTCATTTCGCGCCACGCGGTCCTCCTTTTTTTGAATTCAAAAGGCGTCATTGAGTGAGACAGTCCAGATGGTCCGTGAAAAACTGATACAAAAACAATTGGCACAAAACTACAATATTGTGAACAAAAGAGAACATTTCTTTGAATGATTATACATTTGTAAATGAAGATGAAGAAGATGATGCTCATAGAACAGTTTCTTCGAAACTCATAGCAATTTTAAAGAAAATTGAGCGATATAATGCAAAACTGATTTCGCTCGCATTTATCTAGCAAATATTGAACATTTCGTCCCTCATTCAAGTTTCAACAATTATTCTCGGAAAAAGCTAACTGAAAAGCAAGATATCAGATTAATTAAACATAATGAGAAGTACATATCATTTAGATTTTGAGTTCGAAGAATGTAACAAGATATATCGAATGAAATCTCATCAATGATAGTATAGACTTTTCTCATCATATTAGTAGATAGATAGATAGTGTTAGATACAATTGAGATGAAATGAGACAGTAATAGAGTATAATTACAGATGTTTTCTATTGATTAATGCTGAAACAGTATTTGTCACGTACACATGATATGATGATAGATAGTAACAGACATACCATATACCCAAAACAGATTACTAAAAGGGCGTCATAATTTAGACAGAGTCTTAAAAATCGGATATAAAACTATTTGTTCAAGATGCTATAAAATTGAGATTGCTTAATACACAAAGCAAATTTAGCAAACAGTGCTATATCTTGTAAGCAATCTATTAGATTTGCAAAATAAGTTGAGAATGAGTACTGTTGACTTTCTATTTCTACTCACTGAGAGATTCATGCCACACATCTAGATCAAATATGGTTTTTTCGATTTATCTTGTCCTTTGATGTTCTGCGAGTGTATTATGGACTGGATTTATTCATTAGATATAAACTTTTATTGCTAAAAATAAAGTATAAAGTAAGAATGAGTAAAGCCAATTGGTTGTGCAT